GCAAAGAAGAAGTCACAGCTCCACAAGAGCCACAAGGTCAACCCACTGAAGTGAGCTTTGACCTTGTGGCTAAGGATTGTGGGAACCGTAACAAGTGAAATATAATAACTAAGCAACTCAGCAATCTTTGGCATAGTAAGTCTTTAGGCCTGTGGATCAGTGATCAGTAAAACACACGAGGACTAAGTACATGAACAGCAACAGACTGTAAAAAAAAAGTCCCCGATCGGGGCCCCTCGAAGTTGGGTTTTAATATCGACAGCTCCCTCATACACCAAAAACAGCACGGCCTCAGAACCTGGCAAGCTCCGCTCAGCTTCCTGGAGCAGCTCGCTCTCTAATTTAAACTTGATTGCCGTGGGCTCTCTGTGTGTGTAGCTGGTGAAATATGAGTGCGGAGAGGAGACGACGGAGGCTTGGCCCCAGGTTTGCTCTCCGCACAAAAACGATTGGTCCTGCCCAAGTTTGAGCCTATGAATGCATATGCGCACACACACACACACACACACACAAGTCTGTATCAAGGTCTTGGAGCCTGTGTGTGTGTGTGCGCTTGTGTGGTTTTTGGCCAGAGCCAGCGTAGAAGTGGGTCTGCCAGTGAGAGCCGTCTGCAGGGAATCAGGTCGGAGCTGAAGGCCGGCTGAATAACTGCACCTTTCTCAGAGTTTGGAGACGAGTCCAGGACCACTGAGCCCAGCTTCACAAACGAACAAAGTACACTCAAGTACACGCCACAGTACAGTCACCACACTGTATTTATGCAGTTGTTAAAATGCTGGACTTGGTGAATGCAATGATTCTGACTGAAACAATGGAGCGACTGTAGCTGTAACTGTAATCACTGCCTCGATAAATTAATCCACGAGAGAAGCAGAAAAATGATGGATCCAGTGTCTCGGGTTTCGCTGCAGTTAAACCATGTTTTTAATGTGTATTCAAACATGTTTGTACACGCTTTCTGGTAAACATGTTTGTAAGTCAAAAATGAACTTTAGTTTTCTTTTTATAGGAACAGAAGGGCGCCTTAATCCTTGGGCGGCGCCGCCATTCCAGGGGTAAACAAGTGGTGTCGCTGTTTTTCCTTTTAATGTGTACCCTCTGTGCTGAAGCGTTGAAAATCCTGGAGAAATAATGTTCCACTTCTATACTAGCTTGTTTCAGCCATATTTTTAGGATGATTTACCTGAACAGCAACAGACTGTGTCGGTGAGGGTGGGGACCCAGTACCACTGTAGACCCTCTCTGGTCTAAGACAAAACAACTATTAGCCAGTCTCCTTAACTCATTAACCCACCAACTGAAGCTAAGTTGGCTGGACTATTTCAGAACAAAAAATACACAGGAGACAAATCCAGAAAAAAGAGAAACCAGGAGAAAATAAACACAAAAAGACAGAGTCAAAACCTCAGGAGCAAAAAAAGTTTAAAACAGTTCAAAATGGTAACACCACCAATTAGTGACTTGGCCAGTCCCTATAAATATATTTATATATTTGATGGGAACAACAAGGCGGCGCTATTCTGTCAAATTACTATGTTTAAAAAAAAAAGAATTTTAATGTGTCACACTGTTGTTCAACACCAGAGGGCCAACTTGTCCCAGTTGTTTGTGATCACGGACTGTTTTGAGGGACACCTCTGGGGGCAGTCTGCTCAGTTCTGTGTTTTAACTCTTGCCATGCTCAAAATATAATTACAAATATCATGTAATATGAAGCGCTTTCTATTAAGATGCCACTGCACAAACACAACCACACCAGCAACAGCTGCCGTCCAATCGTAGGCCCATCATTACTAACGGTTTTTTTACAAGGAGCTGGTATATAACGACGCACTTTCTAACAGACCCAACATGTCTGTGTGATACGGAGGACACAGCAGCGAGCACCGGAGCCACACTGGGCTTCTCTGTCTGCCCCTGATACAAAGTTGCCTCCGTTGACTGTACTTGAGGTGATGAAATGAAAACAAGGCAACATTGGAGTCTGCAACTGGAGTCCAAAACAGCTCCACTTCTACTACGTCAACTAGATCAACACCATATCCTTGAAAAACACTGGGATCTTAACACACAGATGTTCACACCTCCATCCAGGTAACTCCAACAACTCCGGGGGGGTGGTCACATGACCACTTAACGATCATATTGTTGGGGCCCATGATCACTTTACTCGACAACACCCGCCCCTTTGGGGTGGATAGTACGTCAACTAGATCAACACCATATCCTTGAAAAACACTGGGATCTTAACACACAGATGTTCACACCTCCATCCAGGTAACTCCAACGACTCCCAGTCACATGACCACTTAACGATCATATTGTTGGGGCCCATGATCACTTTACTCGACAACACCCGCCCCTTTGGGGTGGATAGATACCTGGAAACTCCCCACCAGAAAACTAGAACTGATGAAGCTCTTGGATGCGAGGAGAAACGTCGTCAACTTGAGGACTTGAACTTAACTTAAGTTAGTTAGTTTTTTTTAACTTAACTTAACTTGAGGTGAGTCCAGTTGACTACTTTAAAACTGCTTTGGAGGTTGTTTTGCCATATTGATCAACTGGGATAAGTTTTTGTTTTTGGAAACAGAAAAAAGCAACAAAGGCTAGCTGAAGTTTCACAAACACATCATGGTTTTTGGCAGTAAATGAACCCCCTGGTCCCCATGTCCCACTGTCGGACACCGATCGTGTGTGTCATTTTCTGCCAACTTTAAAACAAACCCTGTCATCTTAGACCTCAAACACGGGGAGTCCAGGTCCTCGTGGTACGTGTTCTGTTGAACTTTGCACACCTTCTAACTCCACGGTGTTTGTCAGTTTGGACACTGAGCCCCCGGGTACATGGATGTTGACGATGAGCAGAAACAGGACGAGGTTCATAAACACAGATGAAGCCGACTCTGCCTTTCACTTCATCATCTCTGAGTGTCACAGCCAGCTGCTTGGATAAACACAAGTGCACAGTGATGTCATCGGATAGCACCGGAGGGTAAGGCTCAAATTCTGCCACTGATTTGCAACATTCACTTTGTGATGGAGAGTTAGAGTTCCAGGGAACAACCTGGAACAACCTGGAACAACCTGGAACAACCTGGACTTCACTTTATTCCACAGACAATCGGTGTGAAAACCACAAACTGAGCTAACTTTTTAGCACACATCTGTGTCCAACTGTCCTCACTACTACTACTACTACTACTACTACTACTACTACAACTCACTATTACCACTACACCTACGACCACTCCAGTCCCTCAGGCTTCATCTGTCGTTCTCTTCCTCTTCTCTTCCAGATGCGACTACATTCCTGTTCAGTTCTATTTCAAGCCTCAGTCACTCCACAGACTGAAGGAATGCACATCTGTAGTGAAGACATGTCCCACTGTCCAACTGTCCCAATGATCGTTCATAGCTCCCATCAAAATTATTGATCAAGTTTAAAGTTTTGTCTTTGGTTACCTATTAACATGTGTGGTCAAAGTCCTGGCTCGGGTCAAAATGTGGACCGTGTTAAAGTGAGTCTCATATTTCCATCAACTGTTGGAGACACAGTGGTTTTTTAAAGTTCAAATGAACAGACTCTGGTTCACAGTGTTGATTCACAAAGACACAGAATTAGAGTTGAAGAAATAAAAAATATCAATGTACTTCAAATGAGAATTAACCTTGTTTTCCATAGATGTTTTGACCAGAACTTCTGCTGGACTTCAGCAGCTACGTTACCACGTGAGTAGAACACGCAGATCATTAACGTCACCCAGTTTACGATTAAAGTATTCCACTTGTATTGGTGTAATGAAAGGTACTTCGTCTGAAGGACTAAAAACACGGTAACAAAGAGAAACAGAAAACGACTCCAGTGTCTACTACTCCTGAGTTTGACGGCAGCTGACACCAGATTCTGATTGGATGGATTGACTGTCAATCAACTTGGTTTTTCTACTCATTAGATACACCTTCTATTTTCCCTTATTGTCAAGTCCTTCTGAATAAGATCATAAATCACATGACTCTCTGTTGGTGGAACCCAGAACCAGTGCCAGATCAGCCCAGACCGGCCCAACAGCACACGGATTTCTGGTTTCACATTTCTAGCTTGGACGTACCTCAGAGTTGGCCCAGAACACTCCAGCACAAAGTTGTTCAGAACAACAAGAATAATCTCATTGATTGGCCGCCATCATAATTATGTCACATGTTCAACCCTATCAAACCATCCTGTTGGACAGACAGGACTCAGAGAACTACTGTGGTTTATCTGTACTATAAGACCACATGTTCAACCCTATCAAACCATCCTGTTGGACAGACAGGACTCAGAGAACTACTGTGGTTTATCTGTACTATAAGACTGTTGGATTAGGGTTGTACAGTACACTAACTGTAAATATAAATATACACACAAACATCTCATTAAACTATGTGAGATTTTTTATTTTATTATTTATTATTAAGTGTCAGGTTTTTAAAAAATCCTAAATAATATATATATTTCAGAAATAATAATGCTTCTAAAAGGAATGTTTTTATTTTACTATGTTTAAATCAGAGCCTCATATGATGACTATTCTGGTTTCCTATTATAATTCCTAATTAGTAATAATTAGTATTTGCTGTAATCGATGTCAGAGCTTTATCACTGTGAAGATTTTAAAAACATCTCGCTGATTTTAATTGGTCGAAATTCAGTCATCGCTGAAGCCCAAACAAGGACAAGGAAAAACAACTCCTTCGAAGCAAATATCGTCCAGCATAAAACAAACAAACACTAGTTACAACATAAATAACCGTTTCCTATGTTTAAAGAACCAGACAAGTTAAAGATGGGGCTTTAACCAGATCTTCGCGTGACATCCTGTCCGTGGACGACACAGGAGTAAATCCTCTCCGTGTTTCTGTCCCGTCACAAACTCACACCGAGGAACTTTTCCTTCCCTCGGACAAACTCACAGCATCTTATCCGCTTATTTCACTTCTACGCCTTCAAAACCTACCTTGAAAAAATGTCGCCGAGTCACACAGGCATTATTATGTTGTCGCCGTCCATGGCTGGGACTTTTATCGTGCTCTTCCTCGGCCCCCTGGAGAGACTACAACCGGAGCAGCGGCGGAGAGCAGCTACAAAGTCGGACTAGGAGGAGAACCAGCGAGGGGAGGGGATTGGAGGAGACGGACGCCGTCCTATTGGAAGAGACGGCCGTCAATCATCAGGCGCAGTGGGTGGGTCGTAACTGTAAAGTGATTAAGGAGGCAGAGCTATCAGGAGTCAGGAATGTAGCTGTGGAAAAACATGGAAAAGTATGACAGATAATCAGGGCCACATGGATTTTTCTGGCTCAGAGTGTGGCGATTAAAATGACTCGATGTCAGTAAGTTTATTTTATTTCTGTTTCTGAAAAAACGGCGATTAAAATGACTCGATGTCAGTAAATTTAAAAAATTTCACTTAGCATGGTGAAGCTGCTAAAGCTGCTAAAGCTGCTAAAGCTACACACGGCCCCAAGTATACATTGTTACTATGATGATATCAAACTTGTCTTTTTGTCTTGCACTCTTCGTATTTTCTGCAGATTAATCCAAAATGTTTTTTGATTCTGAGAGATGGTTTTTATAATCTGATCATTTAAAACTCTTCTGAGAATTTGGATTCTGTGTATTTTCATCTGTTGTTCACTTTGCTTAGATTTACTGCAGAATTTCCATTGAACAGTAGAAACGTTTGTGTAGGGTTTGAACTCTTGACCTTTAGGCTACGAGGTTAGAACCTTAACCACTTTGTTATACTGATTACTGATGTCACATTCTAACAGGTTCACGTCTACGTGGCAGAAGTGACAACAAACGAACAAAGTCATAGCATCACCTGGGGTCATGTTAGGACGTTTTTAACTACTTTACAGTAATGGTGTGAAAACAGCCGTTCTCAAACAGCACATCAACATCAGGTAAGTCCTGATCAACAGTCCACCACCATCATCATCATCATCATCACCATCATCATCACAGATGTGTGTGTAAGAGGGAGAGAGAGAACACACACTCATTCAGTCACTCCTGTCTAGTTAGTTTACCTGTGACCTGATGGACCATGTGACCATTAAAACCTCTGATGGCTGCAGTTCAGCAGACGACAGACAGGTGACAGTGACGTGTCATTAATGAGAGCTCTGACCTTCCGTTCTCCTCCTGCAGTGACATCACTGCAGCTCTGCTCCACTGTCACCACCCAAGGACTCAACTTCACAAGAAGAAAAACAAACAACAAACACAGAGCAAGTTTAAGTTTGGCAAAGAACTGGACAGACACTAGAGGGAGACACACCACACTGGGCCACTTCAGGTTATGGGTCGTGACTTGGGACAGAGTGGTCTGGCACCAGATGGCTCTGGGATCAATCCACCGACCCTCCGTGGGCACCAACACCTGCAGTCCACTGGACACAGACATACAGCACTTACTAAGATCTAGTTCTGTTAGCTGCTAATGCTCATGCTAATTTAGCTTTTAGCCAGTGTCTCTAGAAAATAGAGGACAGTAGCGGTGCATGATGGTCCATCAACTGATGTGACCTTTAGCACAGATTCCTTTCACAGTGGGCAGCAGTCACCTCACAGATACTTAGGACATGGAAATTCCCACTAAAAGAATTCCAGATTTTCCTCTGGACTTGACCTTTGACCTTATATCTGCAGAGTTTGGGGGCAACAGGCTGTTTGTTTATGAAGTGAAAACAAGTCGACTGGTTCGTCTTATCAGCTGGTACCGATTTTCCTTTTACTGTGCAGTTTTTAAAGAGTGACCTATTGACCTTGACTTGGTTTAACTGCCCACACATTCTCTACAGAATGAGTCGGTCAGAGGGAGGACATTTTCTTTGTTCATCAGAACTAGTTAGTTTTGTCCTGATTGTTCTGACGATGTCAATCAACATTTATATAAACTCTAGTCCTCAGAGTACTACATTAATAAAATTACTACTTATTTTACTGCATCCTCACGTATTTGAAACTGTGACTATAAAAGTGGCAGCGTTCTCACCCAGCTGTTGAACAACGTTCTGGTGTCGCCACCTGCTGGTCATTTTGGCTCCTTACACTAATACGTAAGTACAACCGTTATCTTAAGACTGTCCGGGGTCTACCCCGCCCTCTGCTGTCAACAACTGGGATTGACTCCAGCGCCTCCACCCGTGACCTGCAGGAGGATCATTAACTGCAGCTTAATCCTTTGCAGCATGGATATAATCTTGACATGTGTTTTATCCATCCGTCCATCCATCATCCATCCATCATCCATCCATCCGTCCGTCCATCCATCATACTGTCCATTTCACCTACGACAGAGCTAAAACCAGCTACTTGTTAGACAAAACTGTCTAAAAGTTATAAAAAGCAGCAGGAAGTTTAAGGTTCGGCCTAAAATACAGAGTTTTAAATAATCCAACAAAAAACTGAAGGATCACTAATGTGTGTGGACACACACATTAGTGATCCTTCAGTTTAAAACACCTATGACACCAATGCCTTTTAAAATCTTTCAGCTAACTGTTAGCCACCAACATAAACACACACACATCTGAGGATTATGGAGTCCCTGTGCGGCGGCCCTGCCACCCAGTGGTGGGTGTGGTCAACAGCAGCGGGTGTGGTTAAACATACCAGAGGATGAATGCTGTTGACTCACATCAGTCCCTCCCCCCTCTGTGTCCCCCCCTCTCAGTTTTCCTCCCAGTCTGCAGCTCTCAGACGGTGAAGTCGGACGTCTACGTTCTCCAGGTAGATCCAGTTCACTTGGACTTCTTTCTTGTTTATTTTCAACCTTGTGTCTGTCACGGTGTTTCACCCACTGACTGAGCGACTGCTTTGTGTCTCCTCTGTGCTCATGGACCAGAGTTCTGTCAGAGATGAACATGTTTCTGCCACTGTCCCTGCTGATGTGTGTGTCAGCCGTCCAGCTGAGCGTGGGAGACGAGTCTGTGGAGGAAATCCTCACTTCAAGTAAGAACTGATACGAAAACAACACCTTTTATGGACACGTCACAGCAGGACCATGGACCACGGTTTTATTATCACAGCAGGGACATGCTTTTCGGACAAACAGAACATTCAATATTCTAAAATATTGACTCAAAAAAAAAGTTTTTTGGACTAAGTTGTTTATTAAACTTTATGACAAAATCCACAAAAAAGCCACAATTCTGTTTATAACATTGTTTTAAAAAAATGAATAAAAAAGCATATACTGTATATATAACATGTATGCGTGTATATATACATGTATCTGGTGGATGTTGACCCAGAGAGTTAGGGACATCATGAAACCAGTTAAAGAGCTGGACATTATTAGTAAGTACCTGTACCTGACCCCGACCCCGACCCTGAGTTTGACACCAGTCTCTGTCAACACTTTATTTTTTATCAAGTCAACACTATTTTATGTCAACTTTTTTCATGGACAGGGTTAAAATTGCATATAAAAAGATCCAAACATCACGTCACTTCAGTGCTGAAGGCTTATTGGTCACACGCTCATGTACACGGACATGAGATGTTCAATAAGAAGAAATTTACATTAGAATAAAATATAAAAAAACCACAGAATGTGCATTTACTTTTTTTATTTTCTTTCTTTTTCAGAGGTAAAAAAAATAGGTTGTTGTTCACGGACCTCGTGTCATGTGTAAACCAGTGTGGTAGAGTTGACTGTTCCAGTCGACCTCGTGTCATGTGTAAACCAGTGTGGTAGAGTTGACTGTTCCAGTCCCAGCTGTACACTACACTACAGCACACCCACTTCAGATAAGAGACGACTACATTCAACACACACAGGGTACCACAGTACTACACAGTACTACTATTGTATAGGTGTTGGTCCTCAACAATCACACACACCATCACAACAACACTCGGTCACTGGGTGTGTCCACAGTGACATCAGGGTGGAAAAGGGAGAGCGGTTTCTGCAGAGGAGAACCGTTGGTGAGGTTGGGAACACTGAGTCATTCCCTGAGAAAACATCGACTGCCAGGTTCCACCAGCCAGAACAGACTTTGACAGAGCACAGCAGAATTGAACCACCAACCAACTACACTGTAGTACAGCAGCTGGGCACAGACGATTGCTTCAGTACTTCAGTACGCAGTACTGTGAATACCAGTGACAACACTGTGGTCAGTGTAGAAATACCACTATGACAGGAAACATAAGAGCAATGCACACTGGGTAGAGAACACGACACAACTAACGTTAGTGATGCAGTGGTTAAACGTCTAAAAGTGTGTTTTCCTGCTAGGGACACTACCTGTTCTGGGTGGCTGGGTTGACAGGAGTCCAGACTCTGCTGAGATCCAGGCTGCAGTCCAGTATTCTCTGGAGATGTTCAACAGCCGGCCCAAAAACAAGCGCATGTTCAAACTGGTCTCTGTTAAAAGTGCAAGGTCAAAGGTTAGACTCTGACCTCTGGTCAATGTTTTAACTTCTTCAACAAAACAAAACATTGTCACCAGCAAGTTTTTAAAATGTAAAGGAAAAGTAGTGTCATTTTATGTTGCTTTGGTTTTTTAATCATGTTGTTGTTTTAGGTGACCAACACAATCAACTTTAAAATTGATGTAATCCTGAGGAAAACCAAGTGTCTCCGGTCTGAAAATCAAGAGCTGGACACCTGTGCCCTGACCAAAAAGGTAAATCCATTATCTGTGGACAAAGTAGTGTGTACTAATACTGCATACTGCAGATGCTAGTACTGCTGAACTACATGCTCTAGAGTAGAACAGAGCACCGATATATACCTATGTGGCTAACTGTTTATTTAATTTAATTATTTAACTACTCAAATATTTATACTGTTCATAACTTTAAACTATTTATATATGTGTAGATAATACTAATTTAATTTAGTAATAACAATAGTATAATAAAAAAGACTGCAATCAACAACACCACGAAGGACAACAATTATTACCTACTACTCTAACACTACTAACACTACTCTATTTACTAACCTACTAATCTACTTACATCCTACTACTTCCACAGCTGGAGCCTAAATCATTAGATTTAAATTGATCTAAATATTAATTAATTAGCTACTTCCAGAGATCGAATCGTGATTTAGACACAACAATATTGAAATGTACCGAGAAAACACAACAAACGGTTTAATAAATTTGCAGAGAGCGTAATTTGTACAGAAAACGTCAGCAGTTCGACTGGAATAGAAGACGTTGACAACTGTCACTCGTGGTTGACTAAATAATAGACACGAACATATAACAACACAATAAAGATTAATTAGGACGCAGCCACAGACCGGAAAATGGCGCCAAACCACGTTGTGAAAAAGTCAAATAAAAGCTCTATAAATGTTTATCACACTCACAAAAGTTTGTGGTTTGGTTTTTTTCTTGTTTGTTTTTATCAGTTTGACAACATAAAAGCATAAAAAACAACAAAAGGAACACAATTAGAAGTAAAAAAAGACATACCTTCCTCAACCGCAACCGAACACGAGATGGGGAGGGGAGTGCTCCGATATGTTGACGTCATCATGAGTAAAAGTTGACGAAATTTTAAAAAAGACAAAACGCTGCCAAAACAATTTACTGTACGGAACTTACGAACTGCTTCCTTACTTTCTCGAAGTGAACTTCCGAGGGATCAACAAAATTATTTCTAACGATCTATCTATCTGAAAATATTAAAATGTAACCAAAAATAGAGTCATCAGGCCGAGTTGAAGTAGTACTGCTTGACTTTCGCACGCGCGAGCGGTCGCCATCTTGGACAGGGCCAAACGGCAACACCAGTTGGACAAACGTCATATGCGCAGATTTGCAGTACGGACGGCTCGTTTACGCATACGCAAAAGAGTGCTGTAAATCGTTGCAAATCGCCGCAAACAGCGTCGCTGTTATCGACTTTCTATTAAACAGAAACAAAGTATTCACTAAATATTCACTATATATAGTTATACTCTGTATGTCTATTTTAAGATACATGCTAACTTATTTACGCACACGGTTGACATTAAAAACACAGTGTTTGTAAGGTCTGTGTTAAACTTTTTTTTCTTGTCGTTTACAGCAATTGAAATGTCTCTTTGAAGGGACGTTTGACCCACGCAACGACAAATATGAGCTGTACAACCACAAGTGCAAGAAAATGGAGATGGAGAAAGTTTAACGGACTTGATACTTGTATTTTTTTAATGGATACTCTGACAGCCTGCTGGTGCAGAAGTGTTCTACAGCTAAGCTTCAATGGAGACTTGTTTTAGTGGAAGTCTTAAGAAAATGATTGGAAAAGAAGAGTGGAGGGGGGTGTCGGTAAGGAATGAAGCAGTAATTCTTCTTCAAGGATTGTTATGCTGTATTATTATCCACAAAGGTAAAATGATACTTTAATATACAGTACTCCTTTTCCAAATATTTTAGACAAAAATGAAATAAATTGTGCAGTTTTTCACAGAAATTAATAGGAGTCTGTGTTTATTTCTATGACAATGACATTTATTTGCAGTTTCTTTTACACACTTCACTATTCAAATGTTTATTAAATCATGTTATTATTTGTCACAACATACATTAAAACTCCACTCATCAAAGGTGCGGCCCACCCAGGGGGTCTGGATCCCAGGTTTACCAACTGCATCCATATAATCTGTTGACTCTGAGAACATCCAGGTCAGACATGTCCTCTCTCTGCCCGGTGGGAACAGAGGAATCAGGGATGGGGGTGATGGTCTCTGCCCCCAGAGCTGAGGAAAAAGCCGTCCTGAAAAAAAAACAAAACAATAAAATAAATGTTGGGAATTCTATTTTATTACTATAATTTGAATTTGACAAAATAAAACAGACTGATCTTTCCACAGAACCACAGTTGACACGAAGCTAATATCCGTTACCTTCCATAGTGCATGATGGAGGAGTAGTCGTAGGGCGTGTCCAGGTTGTTGGTGTCCTTTTTGTGGAAGTCATGTGCGTTTACTACAAAACATACGGTATGACAACTGATGATTACAATACACTCAGATCCACTCAACTGATACCAAAGTCATGTGATTTGTTGATATGTTTGATGATGGAGAGGCTCAGACCAGCAGGAAGGTTCTCCCAGTTGATCCTGACGTACTGGTCCCTGTCGCTCCTGGTATGTTCATGGTGGAAGCCCAGAGCGTGGAGCAGCTCGTGCTGAATGGTTCCATGATCCAGACAACCATAGACAGACAGAGACACCACCTGCGCACCCCCGTCTCTGCCAATGGAGGACCAGCATCTACGGTGTGACCAACAGACAATCACTGGCCTGTACCAGTGCAAGACTAGTCATGCTAACACCTGGTCGCCGGGGGGCAGCGCAGGAAGTGGCCCCAGGGCGGCGGGCCAAGATACGGGATCTATTTCAAGCAGGTGCTTGACCCGGCCCTCCAGATTAGCCCCTCCAGGACTGCCTGAACCTCCTGCTCCCCCTGTTGGCCCTGGACCCGCCCACGTACCTGTTCTGTCCACTCACCCCATTTCACTCTGAATGCTCAGGTGGTCGGACTGACCACGATAAGGAACAAAACGGACACAGGTTTTCTGGTGGAACGTTTCCATGGCTTTTTGGATCAAAACTTTTTCTTCATCATCTGTAAGAAAAAAACCCAGATTATTTTCCAAAAACTGAAGCAAAAATGTCTCATTTTAAAAAAGAACCAAACGTAAACAGCTGCAAGTGTAGCTGCTAAGCTATCACAGAAACAAATGGTCATTAAGAAATAGCAGTAGCATCTGAGTTAGCTGCTAATTGCTAATGCCTGACACCCCCCCCACCACCACCTCCCACAAACAGGTCAATGTTAGCACTACATTTACAGTCCACTATGAGGACAGGGAGTAGTTGGTACTGAGTACTTGAGTACAGTACAGTAATAATCGCTGATGCTGTAGGGTACTTCCACCAGTCCGTTTAAAGACTTCTTCCACGTGCAGTACCGGCTCCAACACTTGAGGGCGTTCCTTTTCTTTGACACGACCACGTCACCTTCCACCAGAATGTGAGTGACTCCTGGAGAAGAACAAAGAAAAGCAGCGGGGTACACAGACATACAGTACACACTTGTGTGGTATTGTCAGTAATACTGCATCTGAATACTGAATACTTCCTCATAATCTCAAAAACTTACGTCGATTTGCCTCCAGGATTCTTGAAGTCATGTCCAGTTGCGGAGCTGTTTCGGAGTTTGTTCAAACAGAACACGTTACTTCACTACAGCCACTTCAACGACAGCTGTACTACTGCAGTAGGAGTAGTATTCACAGTGTAGTAGAGTTACCTTCGTCTTTGGGTGAAGTCTGCAGAGACAGAAGGTGAACAAAATCAAGAACTTTCCATCAACAGTTCTAACACTGTAGTGTTGTACTCACCGGCGCCTCACTGTGGACTGACAGTCCCAGCAGGACGACTAGAACAGCTGAGGACAGGAGACTCATCTTCTGTGTCCAAGCTCTGGTTCAGACCAGGTGACCTCTGGGTCGGGGTCCTTGGTTTTATACAGACCAGAGGGAGGGGCCTCCACTGTGGAGAGACTCAGTGAAAAAACATCTGTCGCCCCCAGAACAAATGTTTGTTAAAGGCGACGTCTGCAGCAGGAAGCACCTTCAGAAAAAAACTAAAACTAAAACTAAAAAGACAAGGTCCACGTCAAAGTCAAAGTATTTGATGATTGATTGATCAGTGATGTGATTAATAATGTTTTTGGTGACGTATGAACACATGATGATGATCTTTAGCTGAGCTCACGTTGACACAGGTGATCCCGTGAGAACACACACCAACCTAAGACGTCAACATCCCATAATTCACTCTGAGTGGTCCACACCCAGGGGTCGCTCATCTATTTGCAAACGAAAAACAGCGGGCGATATATGCTATCATCTATTTGCAAACGAAAAACAGCGGACGATATAATTGTGTCCTACGTACTGTAACACCTCTGCTAATAAAAGGTACAAAACTAGAGTGTATGGTTAGCCAACATAAAACAGATGCTGAAATAAAAACCTACATTAGCTAAACACGAGACAAACAGAGAAATGTACAAGCTAAAGGTTAGCTTAACAGTACAAGCTAATGTAAACTCCAGGTTTCCAGGGAACAAGTTGACCTGTCTGTGTCACCAAGGTGAGCAGTGGGCAGCAGTGTGTGGGGACGGTGGACTCGAACCTCCATGACCATCAGAAACAAAAAAAATCTACATTTTGGTCCCAAACAATATTTATTTACAATAATTTACACTTTTTTTTTCATGTTTGCAAAGTTTTAAAAAAATCCTCATTTTGTGACTAAAACATAAAAGAAAAAAAGCTGTAGGTGATGAAGAGGAGCAGGACCAGTTTGGATTCACTCCATGTCCAAAGGAAGTGACATCATCTTTAACAGCAGAACATTTGGTCACATGACGGTGAATCAGACGCTGGTCTCAACATGAGGCGACGTCTTACCGCTCAACATACGGGACAAAAGTCTGTGCTGTCTGTGGTACCTGACACACACACAGACACACACACACACAGACACACGAGAGCAAATAAATAGAAGTTACTCATTGGCTCCATCACCTGGACTAGATTTGTTACTACAACGATTTCTCGTCACTGTGTGTAAAACAAATATAAGAAAAGGTTCGGTGGAATCTAAAATCAATGAATGGTCGTTATTAGAGTTACTGGACTTTTTAAAGTAGGAAGAAAACATTCCAATTTAATCTACACTCACCGGTCACTTTATTAGGTACACCTGTCCAACTGCTCGTTAACACTTAATTTC